TATACTGTTACGACCTTTCGCGGAGAGACGCGATCGCTAGGAAAACGTGTTAGCGAGAGGAGTAAATTCTCGCTACGATTCTGTTAATCGACGCCGCGAAATAGTCGTTTCCCTGTTTCGATTAAGATAACAGAGGTGGTTCAATGAAGTAACACTGTATTAACAGGTGAACATAAAATGATATATTTGACAATAATATGATGAATAAATTACACAAAGTTGACTCGACCTTACGATATCTCTCAATGAATTCGTTAAACTATATGATTTTGATTTTGCTCGTCAGAGCTCTCGATGTCTAACGCTTGACTCGTCAGAAGGGGCTGATTGCCTTTCGATCATTTCTTTACCCCCATTATGCTCGGTTCACACCACCGCTCGCGCCTATGATCACGTATGGCTCTTCTTGTGTCGAAAACGTTACGGACAAAAATCGACGTTTCTAGGGCTCGCTGCTTGGCGACAACTATGCTCCCGTCGATACATTGTATATGATCCAGGGGGCAGATAAGACGGTCTGCCTGCGACACTGTAGGACCGCCAGCGACGGTTAGAAAATACAGCCTGTGGTAAGCATCGTGGCGTAACACCTACTTTCATGTCGATTATTGATAAAGATTATTCGCCAATGATACCATTTATATGTGTTCATTTACATGTGTTCCATCCTTGTCTACGGGAATGTTAAACGTCTCTCCTTTCATATTACAAAAAAAATTTTTTTTTTTACGTGGAGGAAATCTTCATAGACACCTTACCACCCTCCTGTGGGGACGGGCAGAAGGTAGTGCCGTATTCTTACCGGCTAAAACCTCCACAAACGGGACAGTGTACCAGTGCGAGTTTTTATCGTCGGGCCCCTGTGTGCTTATTACCAAGCACGTTTAAAAACCAAGTACTCCCAGAAAGTACATCCACAGTACACGCAAGGGAGGAGAGCTTGGCCGCTTGCTTGTTTGTATTATTCTAAGAGAAATTTTGGTTTTTCCGTCCCTTTTTAGATTGGAGTCCTTATGCCGAGGATTCGAACTCGCGACAGGTCGTCTTCAGTTCTGGGCTTTAACGACCGTAGCTGGCTGCCTCGCCGAGGTTCTAGCTAATTGGAAAGTATTTGATTCTTAATGTGGCAATGTATATCATAGGAAGTATTCTAAGTAGCCTCATGAAGGAGATGTACTTTTTTCATAGTCCTCTCAAAATACAAGGGGCAAAGGTAAATAATTCCCTTAATTAAAAGTATTATTATTAAATCTATTATAAAGCTCTTAATATATTTTTGCTGCTATTATATTTCTTGTAGTAAGAGTAGTTTTAAGAGGCAAGGAGAGGATCCTGAGTGCCCTGAAAGTTCGTCAAAAAGTTTATTATAGCACCTTAAAGTCTATTTTTTCTTTTTAAAAAACTCATTTTTTTAAACCCGCCAAAATTTTTAATTTCACGCTATTTTCTGCCTTCTTTTTAGTTCTGCAGTCTGCTACAAGTAGTATACCAATAACTAATTTTTGCTATGTTATTTTTACTCATATTGTTAAGAACGATGTAAATAAAATAATAAGAAGAGCCTATCACAAGGGACGTTCGAACGTGTACGCAAATGAATGGTCAATAGCGTGGAAACTCTTAATTAAACTCTTTGTATTAAATACTTTCACGTGACATTCCTTTTCTATGAGAAAAATTTGAATTGATGCTAAATAAATAAGGGTTTAGCGTGGATAATGATTCGGATGTAACTATTTTTATTCGTACAACTCTTATTTGTAATTGTTTTTAAAATGATTTCGAAAGTTAATAGAAAGTTGTATATTCTTTTATTTTATTTTCTGATTGGAATTTCTACAAAGTTTTGTGAAAAGAATTATCTGCTTTGTCGAAACTGATAGACTAAAATATAGCACCTGTCCATTTCTTAAAAATTAATTTACATACAAAATGTTACTCATACATACATATCTGTATTTATCATATTTCTTAATTATTTTACTATTACGTTATGGTACATTTCAATTTTTGTATTAGATATCTTTAAATTAATTGTAAAATGCTATTACTAAAATATTCATTGCTGTTCTGCAGACATATTCTATTGTAAAACGAATAAAGCACGACTTGATCTTGTCTAATCTTTTTTTTCTCTCTTCCTTTCTACAAATTTAATTTTTTTTCCATCCTACTGGCGTCTACTGATTTTCAATTACAATTCAAGTATCTACATACCCTTCTCACAACGGTCAAATGTATTGCTTTTGAGTTCCGATTATATTGTGACAGTTTACTTGCCGTGTAAAAATATCAGGTCTCGTTCCGATAGATATATCATTGCGGATTTTGTCATTGGGTGGTATTGACAAAATCCGCAATCATTTAGTTGCCAATGCAGTAAATCTACTACCACTAATCAGTCGTCTCTGTAACCGTGCGTGAGCTTGAGCACGTCGAATTTCTTCAAATATTTCCACACCTCCTTGACCTTACTTATCAACCCTGCAACATTCCAGAAGCACATTTTCATTCCCTTTGTAGCCCCACTTTTCCCCTTTTTCCCCTTCTTTCATTGTTCTTCCCCTCTCTTTCTTTCTTCCTCCAGCCTCTCTTCATTTTCGTTGCACCTGTACCATCTGTTTTCTATTTTTAGTTCCTTATATTCTATCCTCACATCTTCGCCCTTTTCCCTTCTTAATCTAGTTATCCTTCTTATTTGTTGCTGTAGCTCCCTTTCTTTTCTTGTCAGATCATCATCTATGTATACCTCCTTTTCCAATTTGCTTTGTTCCTTTATTATCCTCATTTTTTCCTCTATTGATTTCATCGTCGCCACTATTATTGTGTTTTTGTCCCTCACCCTTATCACATGTGTTCTTTCTATTTCTGTCCCTATTTTCATTTTTTCTCTTATGAACTCCTTTACTGTCTCTGCATTGCTTCCTTCGTTCCAGTCTACTCCTTTGATTACTATGTTCCTTCTTCTTCTCTCTCTCTCTCTCTCTCTCTCTCTCTCTCTCTCTGCCCTGTCCTTCTCCTCCTCGATTGTTCTGACATCTGCCCAATAATTCTTTCTTTTCCCTTTTCCACACTCTTCTCGCTCTCTCTCACTCTCTCTCTCTCTCTCTCCCTTCTTTTTCTTTCCGCTTTCATTCCCCTCTTCATCTTCGCTACTTCCTTTTCGAATATACCTTTTATTTCCTTTATCATTGTTTCAAATCCTCTTTCTATTTTCTCCATCATTACCTCCACCATTTTTTCCGTCATTACCTCCATTCCTTTCTCCCAGGCAGGTGTCTATTTTTCTCACAAGCTGTATTTATCCAATGTATTTTTGAAATCTGCCTTATCATCCGCTTTACCCGTGTATCTGCCTTATCATCCGCTTTATCCGTGTTTCTTGACTTTCCACTGTTTGTCGCCATCTGTCGTTTCCCCACCTTACTTCTTTTGCCGTGTTTCCGACTTCCTAACCTCTTCTCTTCTAGTTTTTCTTATTTGCATCTCTCTCTCGTTACTGTCTTCTTTTCCCTTTTCTTTCACTTTCTCCACGTCTGCTCACCCTTTATTTTAACTTCTTCATGTCACTTTGTGTTTCCTTCTCCTTTTTCCCTTCACACTTCACTTTTTCCACAGAGCTCTCAATTCGCGCGTTACCCTCGCCCCGAACCAAACCGAAAGTCCATCATTTGTAATGACTTTCGTAAACAGAACACTCGAAAATTAATACTTTTTAATCACTTAATTTTTTCAAAACATCTTTTATAATTTAGTAGGTTTTCTTTATTGCCAAGGAGAGTTAACTTTTTTTTTAAATAACTTCCCTCGTAAGAATTTTGGGAATAATTTTTATTTTTTCCACTAGTCGAAATATTTCAAGCTCTTCATACTTTTAACCTTTTAAACAAAGTCAGAAAATCCTATGCAGCTTGTAGGGATCTAGAAACAGCATGATTTATTTACTCTAATTGTTTTTTTAGATGTTTTTACCAATTTATAATGTTCTAATACAAAGTGTCGTAAATTAAATGGTCCTACCTTTAAAAATCGATAGGACATTTTATTGCATACCACGTACATATGTTGAAACCACTAATGTCATAACAAATTTTTCTATCTTTCACTTCTATTCTTTGTTTTCTCCTTACTATGTTTGCGTTTACGTATATTTAAAAATACTAATTAAATACATCTTCAGAATTTTGGATCTTAATAGCCGAAATTATGGTTCAGGAACACTAAATTTACAGTTAGAATTTATATTTGATAAACGATTTCAGTGATATTCATCGATACACACTTGCACGCGTCTCAGCACTTTCTTTTATACCAGACTGTTAACTCAACAGTTTACATTTCTTTATTTTCGAGACGCCGCGCTCACACACGATTGCACACTCTGATATTCACATACATGCATCGCTACTACGCAGCTAACCTAGTCTAGCACATAAAATTATACATATCTCAATAATATGATTTCAAGTCGTTTCTTGATAAAAATGTCCTATTTCGCTCCTTTTATAAAATTAAAACGTTCTATCTGAAGCATTCAATTAATTAATACATTATTACCTATTTATTTATTATTTATTTTTCATTATCTATTGCTATTATCTATGTATTATTACCTGTACGCTTAGTTACAATTGTAGGTATAGGCTGTTACGAAAAGCTGACTAAATTAAATCGAATAAAGGAAAACAAGAATCACAGGAAGAAAATGTAAAACCTCAGTTTTTTCAGTCTCGAAGTGTCAGATAGAATACTAAGTAACGATAGAAAAGACAGTATAAGTATCAGATGGTGGTATGGCTCACACCCATTTGCATAACTGAAACATTGAAGAAACATGCTCCTGTTTTCCAATAAGGGTCATTACACATCAAATCGATCATTTTTTGACGTTAAAGTTAGGAATTTTTTTCAGTGGCATATCCTATAATTTACGTGAATTGCTCATTTCATGAAAATAGAATTCAGAAACTATTTTTGTAATCGAGTTGCTCCTTTGCAGATCCTTAACGTTCCTCCTTAACGAATAACATGTTTTATGAATAATAAGTTAATAGAATAACGAGATTAACGAATGATGAGTTTTACGAACAATACGTTTAACGAATAATGAGTTTAATAAACGCTATTAACAATGTTCTTGGCTTCAAACGAATCCACGGCCAACGGGATAACTCTTTACTATGCGTAGAATAATTTTAGACACAAAAATACGATTGCTGAGACATTCGGTAAACTGCTGGATGTATCACTTTCCAAGGCGGTCACACGAATGATGATCTGATGAAAATTTTTCTCGCGGTACGACTGCATTTGTTTGTTATATGCTCGCTAGAAACATCGAGAAAGTTCCAAACGCCGTTACTAGGCAGTTTCTGTCTGGAGTTTGATTCCTAATACAACGTGTGTCCCATTATATCTACATCTCCGAAGTACAATCCTATGTGGCCAGGCCCGTTCTTGAGGCCGTATGCCGCCACAACCACATTTCTAGGGAAAACCATACAACCGCTCCACACCTTCGTCAGGCAAAACGTTTGTCCTGTAACGTCAATTCATATTAGAGGCAGGATGTGTGCAGGTCTTCATCGCGAACCCTCAATTACCCCAGGGACCCACCATAAACATAAACTTTTTAAATTTATTATTTCTGCTATCTGTTTATGGATAGTCCTTGAAACAACCCTTAGGTCGTTATACGTCCTTACTAATTACGGGGAAAGCAGGTAGTTATTTAATGGGAAAAACCCAATGCTTGACTGACGAAAAAGCTGGTTTATCCCATAAACAATATTACTTACTAGCCACGTTGGTAGGAGGCTTCTTCCTCCTATCTTCATTTATTAACATGATCTATAACCAATTGGCATCGTGTATCGTTACCCTCACTTTTCCTAACGGAAGTTGCGAACAGCGAATCCGCGTTGTTAATTAAAAAAGGCGCACCGACACCGAACTTTCCTCCGTAATGAGACGAGTACACCTGTGGAAAATAGACAAAATCATCGAACAGTGAACATCTCTCCGATCTGTGTAAACCTGTGCTGTGCTAGAAAATTAAGACAATAGTTGTGTTACGATTCAGCTATTTTGTTTCATCAACCAACCCCTAAGTTTACGTGACAATCCCGTGACCGTGGCTACGTTCGGCGACCAGTTGTCAACTCGAACCCACTTTCTCTGTCATAAATATCGAAGAATTACAATCAGATTGAATGACAACAATTGCTTAATTACAGCTATGATAAAATCTAGGCTATAGCATTAGAGGACTTTCCCAAAATTGCAAAGGAAAGGCTCCAGTTTTCCTTTCGTCTCCGACATATATGTAATTAATTAGCTTTTGTTTTGTTCAATTTTCCTCTTATTGTTAGTATAGTAAAACAGTTATATCAATAAAAGTCACATCCTGCTTTCTCTCTTATACTTACCCTTCTTTCAATTCTTTAAATAATGCTAATTAAAAAATCATTCTCTCTTCCGTATTTTATCTTAAAGTACTTGTTAAAAGGGATATGATCCGTCAGAACATTTGCTAATGATGTTCACTTTGACATATGTTGTCAAGGACATTTTCTTGAGCAATTTCTAGAAGATTTTAGCCATCGCCCGTTATTCCTTAAGAAATTAACAATAAAGAAATATTCAAAAAAAACAATGTATACTATGTAATTACGTATGATAGAGAAACACTGTTCAAGCCGCTTCGCTCGCATATGGAACATTGTGTTGGAATAGATTTTTATGAGCTCCCAGAGTTCGCGAACCGAGTGAAACGACCAACATATGTGATGTTCCTTTAAAAATAAAAACAAGGAAATAAACACATACGTCCGCGTCTGCAATTCACAGTCACATATTTTTATATATAGGCAGAATATAATGTACAAGGTATAAAAAAATTATTTGTCATTGCTTTGGGAGCGGGGTGTGACTCTACATTTTCAAATCTGCGGAGAGCTGCTAAAAAAATGATTCGCAACTGATTATGAGCGTGATTTTCAAGATCAAATTTTTTTACTGCATCATATAGTACTTACCACGAGGAACAAATGTCTCAAAGTAATCATGGTTTGCACATTTTTTTTATTTATTTATTTATTTATTTACATTTTACAATTTGTACAGTAGGACATTTGGTAAAATATTATAGCATGGTTTGCAAATGACCCGTTCATTTGAAAAAAAGTCATTAAGGTTCTATTAGCCCTTAAACTAATTTTGTTATTATATTGCGATAATATATTACGAATAAAAGACAATACAAGCACAAAAATAAATAAATAATATAACAATGATACGATATTATTATTGTATTAATACAAAATTAATAATATTATAAATATGTCGGGTTTACATTAGAATTAGTGTTAGAGGCGTAAAACGAATATTCGTTTGGATTACACGTTGTCGTTATGCAACAGAGAAGACATTAGCTAGTGCAAGTACGATTATTATAGAACCGGACAAGTAACCGTGGTAATTACATACTCGAGAAACTAATGACAATGATCCTAGGTTCAATAACGAATCTGCGGTCGACGGGATGATAGATGAGCGTGCTCACAAAATCTAAATCGGACGCGCAATATTCACTGGTCGTAAAGGGTTACTCTTTTCGTCGATGAGATCGCGAGAGAGAATGACTTTCCCGCCCCGATGATGCCACAGAGGAAAACTATAATGAGGTGTGTCTAAGGACACGAGATCATCGGATTTGTCGAGAAAAGCCTTTGTTCAGAAAGTAAGTGAAATTGGCGTTGCTGCTAATTGGTCCATCTTCATATCGGTGGTTAAAAAAGATGCTAGCCACCCCTGAGGGAAAGTTGCTAGTGGGAGACGCAGCTCGTTGAAAAATGGGTCTCCCCTATTTTCCCTTAGTTGGGACAAAGATTGTTTGTCTGTTTGAAGGACTTTAGTTAGCTAAATCTTAAGATTTATAACGGCCCTCAGGCTAGCTGAACATGTACTGTGAAGATGCATCGACATCTGGTAATCATCTTACCCGGAGAATAAGGTCTGCGTATGGCGAGCCAGAACGGGACAGAAACCGTTGGAATGTTTACTGTCGCGTGTCGCCACGAATATTTCTTACCTTTTTAAGGAGAGCTACAGAATTACTCCATGTCTTTGTTAGACAAAGCGTTCATCCCGTGACGGCGGCTACGTTCGGCGAGTGGCTGTCGCCTCGAGCCCAAGCTCATTATCACAACTCTCGAACAATTACAATCGGATTGAATAACTACAATTGTTCAATTACA